CCTGCTGTTGGTCCAGGGCATCAATGTAGTGGTTAAAACTGAGCTATGGATCCCCACTGGGTGATTTGGGGGAATACTTGTCAGGAAGCAAAATGGGAAGGGGATGATTTTGGAAAAAGTTCAGTCCTGAATCTTAGAGTTGAAACACACCTATATAGAAAATATCTCAGGGCAAATAAAGCAATAAAGACAGGGTCTCTGATTTGCAAGCGTGGTACATACAGAGCTGAGCATTTACTGGCTCCTCTCTTGCGAATAAGTCACATGTTTAGTGGCCTTCACTCTAATTACATAATGAAATGTAATTAATAACTCAGAGCAGTTTGTCTGAAAGGGGATGTTCTGACTCTGCCCCATGGCCTTTCTGTGACACCCTCTTTCTGCCTTGGGGCGTTTTGTTGGCATTGCTTGTTGCCGTGGCGGGTCCTTCTCTTGCTGCTGGAGCTCAGGCCCTTGGCAGAGGCTGCCCCGTGCTCCAGCTCGCCCTGCCAGCCACAGGGGCTGGGGGGGACTGGTGGGGCTTAGCTCCCTCAGGATGTGGACACGCCGGAGCGGGTGGGCTGCCTGGCTCTGCAGCTGCCCTCACCAGCCTGTTTGAAGCAGGCTCTTGTACTCAGCAGGGTTTGAACATGACCTCCGTGCTGAAATCTGAGAATCCCAGGAGCATCTGTGCCATGGGACTGCAAACCCCTTCTCTCCAATAGCTTCTCTGTGCACACTCCTTGTTGCCAGAGCTGCAGCACATCCCTGTCACCTGAGAGGCTCCATCCACAGGCACTGTGTCCCCACGGGGCTCTGGGCAGCCCCCAGTCCCCATCTGCAGCTACCACTTCTGCTGGCTGCTGCAGTGTGGGGTGGGCTTGCTGCTGCTGGAGGGACCTCGCAGGCAGGAGGTTGGGGGGACACATCTCTTGCCATGTCTCCCTACAGTTTTGGGTACCATGACATCCCTGGTCCTGCAAGCCACTGTGTGACCACCCTCCTCCCAACTTGCTGCCAGCCAGCTGCCTGAGCCACTTCACCGTTAGAGAGCCAGAGCAATTCTATATCTGTATGCATTCAAAAGATGTTTCTGTAAGAAAAAGTTTTTCCTATGGGAGTGAGCCCCAGGTGTGGAGGATCAGCTGTCCCTTCTTACAGGGTGCTTACAGGGCAGCTGGGCTGAAATCCTATCAGAGGCAGAACCCCAGAGAGTCTGCCAGATGTAGGGTGGTTTGGTGGCTCGTGCAGTGGCTGGATGGTAATTTTGGACCAGAGAAGCCACCCTGTGCCCTGTAGTAGTGCTCACGGGGAGGAAAAGCACAGCAGAGGAGCAGAGAGTTGGGGGGAATTGCTGTTCAGAGAGAGGGAGGAGTAGGATGGTCTGAGAGCCTGAGAGGGGACCCAGCAGTGAACAAAAGACCATGGCTTTCTGCTCTCTCTTTTCAATGCTCGAGGCTTTCTTAAACAGAACAACCGTCTCCCTGCTTCATGGTTTCCCAGAGTACCTCAAGGTGTCTTAATTAGTCTTCAAAATATCCCTCACCCCCGTGAGTGGATTTCTCAGCTCTGGTGGTTGCCCTGTGGCATCCCCAGGGGGGAAGCACAAGGAGCCCTTGGGTGTGCAGGGCTGATTTAGATAAAATAAGGTGTGCTGCTGGTGACAGCAGCTGCACTGGGTGTATGTAATGTCTGATGTAAGCCAGTGAAGTAGCTATACCAGATATGGGTTTGATCTGTTACCTGTCAGTGCACAGAGCACTGTCGAAGGAGCTACAGGAGAGTGATGCATCTTCTGTGCCTCTCCCTGCAACACCATCGCAGCTTTAGGCGGCCAGCGATGCCCCTGGCAACCCTCTCCTAGCCCTGAGCTAAAGCCCTCTTACAGACCCTGCGGGTGGGAGGGAGAAGCTGTGGTTTCAGCTCTACGAGGTGGGTGCTCCCAGCAAAAGCCCGAGGAACCTTTTCTTCTTGGAGTATTCCTTCTAACTGGCAACTGTTGCCTTTATGGATTCCTGTGCGGGTGTTGGAAACCTGAGTGCTCTATGATTTACACCTTATTTGGTAAGTTTTTGAAGTTAAAATTAAGAGGAGGGAGGAGGGAAAAAAAAAAGGAAAAGTGAATCTACTCACCAGGACTAATCTCTTCAGTGAGATCTTGGCAGGCACTGGAACCCTACAGGACTTCCAGCAGATGTTTTGCTGCAGGTCGCCGTCACACGCAGAGCCCAAGCCCCGTCTGGCTGCAGCAGCCTCTCTCTGAGGGCTGTGCAATAGTGACTTGGGTCTTTTATTAAGGTTTTACTCCTTTTTGTGCGGATTTCTAGCTCCCTGCAGCAGCTCCAGGTTTTGGCTTAACGTAGCCAAAGGCATATTTTTATTATTGTGTAATGGGTCTGCGCCTCTTCCTCCGTCACGTGGCACGGGAAGAAGTTTTTATGCACATATGGCTGGAAAGCTCTTGATGCTTGGGGAGTGTTTCTGTCTCTCTCTCTCCCTTGCAGTCTTGTACAAAAGGCTCAGCAGTTGCCCGGATCATTTCTGACCGATTCTGACTCTCTCTGCTGTAGTTGCTGCCTGGCAAGCAGAATTTGCAAGAGGATGGGTAAAGCAGATCAAGCTAGGGAACAACTTTGATGCTTGATCTTGGAGCAAAATCTTGTTTTAGAAGTGAGTTTCCACCCTTAGGACAATTCTCACAAACAGGTAGTGGCAGATCACTCCAGGCTTGAATAAAGGACATTGTCATGGAGCAGCAGCTTTGCAAATTGAATTTTGAGAGCAAACTGCATGTACCTCAGTGTTGCTTCAGGTGGATGCATTAGACAAAACATAGAGACTTTAGGGATGACAGGATGGGAATGCTTCTGTCTTTGGAAAGGGTTGGAATTTTGTTTTAAGCATGCAAAAATAATTACAGAATTCCTAGCAACTAATTAGGATAAGGCAGTAACACCAGAAGCAGTGGCTGGAGCTGGAGTTGAGCTTTTTAGCTCTGCCAACAGTGAAGTGTTGAGTCACAGTAAATCCCTGTCCCTTCTTGTTTCACCCCTGCAGCAAGTCAAGGTGTTACAGCTCCTGGCAGTGTTGATATCCTGGCTTATACCAGCCCGTTAAACCAGAATCACAAATGCCTCCTGAGCCTCAAAACCGACAGTGCTTCCCTAACAGCCCCAGGGGAGTTGCAGAGGTGCAGAGAGACAAGTGGGGGTTGAAGTTTCCTGCTCCTGCTCCCTCTTTCCCCATTCCTTCCCTCTCCCCACTTTGCATGATTCCACTCTGCGATGCTTGGGTTTGGTACAGACTAGACTCATCTTTTTCAGGGTGCAGTGAGGAGAATCTAAATAGAAGCAGTGAGATGACCCAGATGTAGAGCCTGGCTCCATGGGTGCCCATGCTGGGGTGGTGAGGGACCCATCCCCTTGCTGGGGCCATCATCACTCGCACAGAATGGACTGCTGGTTCTCCTGGCTGCAGCCTGCAGGTCCCACTCTTGGATGTGTGGTTCCTGCTTTGCCCTGGCCAGGATCCTCTGTGGGGTTTGGGACAGGCATGTGCTCAGTGGCAGGGCTCCAGATCCTGTCCTGCTGTTCTCCAGCCAGGAAACGTTTTCTGCTCAGTGCAGATTATCAGCTGATTTGGAGTATGCTGGAAGTATCACAGTACTCTGCCAGAATTCATCCTTATTGGAGCTGTTGTAGGGGTTTTTTTTTAAGCTTTCCCCTGCACATGCTGTTGGAAATGATGGGAATGGATCTAACATAGGAATGAAGTATGTTCACAGTTTGCTTTGTGAGCTGAAATGAGTTCATCTGCTCCTGGAAGGGGTGGGAATGTTTGGCCGAGGAAGCACAGGGCTGTTTCCATGCTGTGCTGATGGTCCTACAGAGCTCCCTCAGAGCCAGTGCCCCAGCCCCCAGCTCCCTGACAGCTCAGTGATATTCCCTCCCCGAGCCCATGCTATCGTCCTCTTAAATTTCACTGGGATAAGGGCTGTTTCAGAAAAGCTGCCATATGGCTGGCAGGGCTCTGCTGTGCCGGTAGAGAGCTGCCCCCAGCCCCGCTGCCCCCCTGGCACTGGGGTGGGCACAGGGGAGGCACCCCAAGACAAGGGCTCCAACAGCCACTCTGGGGCATTTTTCCCATAAAGCTTGTAGGGACTCAGCTCTCTTGGAGAGCCTCTCCTGCCTGGGTGTGGGGCTGGAGTCACCCAAAAGACTCAAGGCACTGCATGTGCACAGGTCCTGCCTCGGGTTTCTTATACAACCAGATGAAAACTCCCTGTGGGCTTTGCCAGAGGGCCAGCTGGATTGGCCTGGGAAGCCACAAAAGTGTTCTTTTCCCATAAAGCTTGTAGGGACTCAGCTCTCTTGGAGAGCCTCTCCTGCCTGGGTGTGGGGCTGGAGTCACCCAAAAGACTCAAGGCACTGCATGTGCACAGGTCCTGCCTCGGGTTTCTTATACAACCAGATGAAAACTCCCTGTGGGCTTTGCCAGAGGGCCAGCTGGATTGGCCTGGGAAGCCACAAAAGTGTTCTTGGACACTAACAGCATTAAGAAAAAGACCTTATGCTTGTCCCAAACCTGTCCCATGGCAGCTGCGCCGGGGCACTGGGGCTTTGCGGTGGGTGTAAAATGGGTCAGGGGTGAAACAATGCTTGAAAATGCAGCAGTGCAGCCAAGCAGTTCAAGGTGTGATTGGGGAATTGGCGGTTACTGGTGATTTTGTGCCCACATCCATGGTGTGTTGAAGGCAGCGAGAGGCGGACCTAGTTTGACGAGGTGGGGAGAGGCAGTGCTGGGAGCTCCTGCCAGGCAGATGGAAAATCGCTGTGCTGCAACGCCGAGCTGAGCTTGCCAAGGGTCCCAGCCAGCTCTGCTGGAGAACACGTTTGGAAGCTTGGTTAAATAAATAAACTGCCTGTTCACGGAGAAGCAGAGCAGCCCTGAGACTCTGTTCTCAGTTCATTTTGTTTCAGCTAGATGTTGCAGGGAAGCGTTACAAGAGACCCTGCCCTTCTGTGCTGCGTTTTCGCAAAAGCCTCCCTGCTGTGACTGCTGTGGTTCTCACCATGGATCATGGTGAAGGTGGCTCGTTGCTGCAGCCTGGGGAGCTGGCTCAGGCTGATGTCCACCTCGGCAAACCCCTGTGGGACCCTCAGCACAATGTACTGTGGTTTTACATCCTTCAGACAGCTTGCTGGGGGGAACGTGTGTCTTATGTGGCAAGGGCAAGGTGTATCATCCAGCACCTACAGGGCAGAAACTGTAGTCTTAGCTCCTCTATCACCTGTGCACATGCTTTGGGTGAGAAACACGCCCAGAGGTTGGTGATCCCCAGCTCCTGCCCGGGGCCAGCAGGATGGGATCACATCCCAGGGAGGAAGGGTTTCCCTCATCTGCTTCCCGAGCTCTAGCGCGTTTCACTGTTGCAGACACCGACCTTGCGGCAATGACTTGTAACTAAATAAACTGACTCAGCAGATGCCAAAATAGCTGTGCTTCACCCAGGGGCTGGGGGCAGCCTGAACAGAGCCGGGGCAGTGGCAATGAAAGTGTAGCCTCCTCAAAGTAAAATAAGGGTGCTTTGTTTTGTTGTGGGTTTTGTTGTTGATTTTTTTTTTACTAATGGGAGGGGAAAAGTGGTTTTCTGCCCAACAGGCCTCCTGGCTTAGCGTGGAATGGTGATGTGAGCAATTTTTATAGCCTGCCTAAAAGGAGTTTGGAAGTCTGTGAGCAGTCTTCAGAGAGTGATTGTCCCTCTCCGAAAGCCCTCGTAAAAATGAGTCAAATCTCTGTTTAAGCTTAAAGGATGCCCTCGAGACCATTATCTCTGCTTAGAACTGCAGTCCTAACCCGTTAAGATAAAAATAAATAGAGCTTATTTTAGGAACAGGGAAGTGGGAACCAGCCTGAGCATCAGTGAGCCACCAAAAGCACAGTGTAGATGTGGAAAAGTTTTTTTTTTTTTTTTTTTATCTCATGCACCTTCTTAATTCAAAGTAAAATTCAGCAATCTTTAATGATCTTTTTGACTTGCCCCAGTTGGCTCCTGCCTAAGTATGTAATAACAAGTTTAGACAAAAAAAAAAGGACTCTTCTGAAAATACCTTGTATTTCCCAAAATACAAAAAACCTTCAGCCACACTGCTGGAATCTGTAGTATCATCAGCAGTCCCAGTACCTGGGGCCACAAGCAGCATTTGTCCAAGTCAGGAAAGCCAGCAACAAATGTCACTTAATCTGTGTCACAGTACAGTGCCTCTGTCCTTTGGGGCAAAGCAGCATCCCCCAACGATGAGTGAAGGATTACTTGGGTTGCATGTGAGCAGTGACAGTTGGTGCAGATAGGAATAGCCACAGATAGATAAAATTCCTTCTCCTGCTGCCACTCTCCAAGCAGAGAATTTTGCATTAGAGCTGGCTTGTCTGTTCTCGGAGAATGGATAATTTGCTAAAGTTGGTCTTTCAGCTTTTCCTAAAACACTGGAAAATGTTTTAGGAATACATTGGATGTATCAGTAGAATATACCGTCCCAAATATCCACGTCCCAAATGCACTGCTAGCTTACATTGTGGCAGCTTGGGAATCAAGAGCAGCAATGGGTTAAAACCCTGCTGTGAGGTGGTGTTGGAGCCAGATTTGCAGTTTCTAGCTTGACATCAAAAATCGAGAACAAATGCGTGTGCAAATGTGATAAAGCTGTAAAGGCATCTGACCAACTCTCGCTCACAGGGGATGAGGTGAGAGATTGAGGCCACGGGCCAAGGGCTGTGCTTACATCCAAGTGTCATGCAGATGAGTGGCTGCGTGTTTCTAAAATGCTCTGGAATTACTTTTAAGACTTTGTAGGCTGGAAATTCAGTTTGCTAATCTCTCCAGTTAGCAAGGTTTTCTTAGGCAAAGTGAATCTTTTCTCTGTCCCACTGAGGTCTGAAATGCTCTGGTATTTTGCAGAAGCAAAAATCATCACTATCTACTACCCTGGTGGGGTTCTGGTTAGATCATCCAAGAGATGTGAACAAATATGTTTCATGGAAAATAACTAGTTTAGTTAGAATGATTTCTATTTCTTGGTTGCATCTGGCAAGATAAATGCAAACAGGCGTGTAACACAGCCATGGGGAGTTGTCTGCATGTAGTTCAGGCCACAGTGTTTTGGCCTGAATGTAGTAAGGTTATACCCAAAAGTGATATGGAAAATTGTAGTTGTTGGGTTGAACTAGGCACTAGTGGGCAGAGAAGATCCTGTTTCTTCTGTTGAACTCCATTTCATCTTTAACTAATTGCTGTCCTTCCTGCTTTTTGCTGACCCCTCAACAGCCTAAATCTATTACACTTGTGTAGAAGAGTGCATCTCTTTCATTAACCCATTCAGGAAAGCCATAAAGATCCAATTACAAAGAGACATGGAGACAATAAAAGAACTACCTTCTGGAGTGCCTTGAAAGAGGACAAAGAATGCTAAAATTTTCAGCACAAAATAAAGGAGAATGTTTTAATCTACATGTCGTAAAGATGCAAAAGTCCTGGTATCAGTTGGCTAATTCAGCCTGCCAAGCATTGCCCTTGGACAACCAGAACTCAACAGGATGACCTATGAGGCAATCGTAGCAATTGTTGAAAGAGAGCTGAGAAAATAGTTTTTGAGCTTTGCCAAGGGCTGGATTGAGAGAGTTTCCTTGACTGTGCTGGAAGGGTCTGTCTTGTATTATGATCTGAGGATTTTGCTGGTCTGTGTTGCCAGGCAAAGGAATTTCCTCTCACCTTGCTTCCACCTTTGTGCGTGTGAACAGCAGGAGTTCCCAACTTCAGCTGTCTCTGCTAGAGCACGCTTGTTTTCACTGTATCTTCATTTTTGTCCAACAAACTTCTTTCAAGCTCGTTTTAGAAACTGTATAATTCTTGTGCAATAGGAAGCGGTCTTTGGATACGCACAGTCATATTGCACGCCAAATCCACGGGGAAGCAGATGGAGGAAAATTAAGCCTCATGATCAGATCCACAATGTTCTTTAACATTTAACCTTTATGATATAAATAGGACAACATGTTTTAAGCTTTATTTGTCCCTTAACTGTTGAGAATGACCCAGACGAGATCTACTCTGCATCATTCACAAGCTCAAGGAACTGTACTTTAAAGAAAAAGCTACTAATTGGTTTTTTTTTCCCCCTTGGAGCTGCTTTTCTGCTTCACCAAGAGGAAACTGGTCCCTGTCCCCCACAGTCTCTCAGCAGAGCAAGGCAGGGCACACTGGAAAGTCAGTCCTGTCTTCAGGTATTGAAAAGCAAATCCATCCATGTGGGTATGCTGAAGTGGACTTCAGTATGTTAATTTGTAATAAAGTCTCCCTATAGCACTGAGCACGTTTCACTGGCTTCCAGAACACAGGCACCGTTAACTCCCCATTTTTCTCTTGAATATATGGAAGATACTCACCAAACAAGAGTTTAAATTTGAACTTTCATAGACTGCCTAGACTAGTGAATTATTTGTTCTTCATTCTAAATTGCTCTTTTCAGTGTTATTTCTAAATTACTTCTTTACTCTGTAAAGAATTAAGTCTAGATACTTTTAGGAAGATATCTAAATAGCTCAAGGAACTGGTAATGTGGATCCTATCTCAACTTCCCTCAAATTGACCTCTGCACTGACCAAGACAACACCAGTTATTATCTCTGCAGCTGGAGGTATGCTGGCCAGAGCCTCAGGTGTTACACCCCTCAGAAGAATAACAGTTTACAGTTCCCATCAGCTAATTCAGAAAAATGAGCCAAGAACAGTTTACATTCAGGTCATACCAGATCATCTCTGGAACACCATAAATAGCCTAAAATTGGGAACATCAATGAGACTATCACAGGTAGCCTGCAATTTCATTCTATATTGAAACTAATGCAGAATTTCCATTGTTAACTATGTAAACTAAATTAAAATACTCGGTTCTCAACAGGGCTGCAAAATCATACATGGGACACTGAAATGCATGTTTATCACATATAATTACTTGTGGAAAAGAGAAGTTTTCACTTGAAATGATCCATAATCTACAAAGGTCAAAACATGAGACTATGTAGAAACTCATAATGTGAGTCACTAGTATAGCAGAAGGAAAATGCTATCTGTAATATTATATATAATAATTATATCATAGATATATATTAATATATCACTCTGTCTAAATCCACATTGTTTATAAAAACATAGAAACAATTTCTGCAAAAGCCAATTTCTACTCTTTAGTTTTTCCTTCCTGGTACCTGGTTATATTTAACAATTCCATCCTCAGATCTTTGATCTCACTAGTTGGATATATTTTTTGCAAGAGCTAGGAGTATTTTAAAATTGTTTTGTTAAATTAAAGCCTGCAGTCAGATTTATAAGTATTATAAAATAAGTCTGCATTCAGAATTAGTATTTTTGTAACAAAAATAAAGGAGAAGCAGACTTGGAGAAAACCTAATAAAAAAGGGAAAACATCTTTACAGATGGAAATTACAGGTACAACATGTTACAGGTTTGATTTTCTTCCAGTTACTTTACCTTCCTTCATTACTTACACAGTAGAAACTGTAATCTAGTTCTTAAAATTAAGAAGAAAAACCAGGATTATGGAGTCTTCCTTGTCTTACCATTAACATTACCTCATTAAATGTGGTAATAAAAGCCATGTTTAATAAGTTTAAGCCATAACAGAAAAAACCCTCAAGCCTTCCAACTCTACAGTATGCTGTGAATTTTTTTTTTACCCACTTTTTCAACTTTAACTATTTAAAGGGGAAAACTCCCATTTTAAGGAATTAATATTGCCAAATATAAAGCAGATGCTGCTTCACATTATCATGAAGGATTATAGCCTGACACTTGGTACTACACCATGTAACAGGAAGTTATAAAGAGTACGATGAATTCAGTTATCAAACAGAAGACCAAAGAACTCAGATCTCTGCAACTGAAATTTATGTGAACATCTGCAGAAACAGAATTTAAAAGCTCTACAGTCCGCTTCTGATTAAAAAGGCTGGACATCATTTAAGAACTTTATATTAATTTAACAAAAACTGTACAAAGCAATCAATTTTTACACTTCCAAAATACTTACTACAAAGTGATCAAGAAAAAAACCAATTTCTTCTTTTAAAGCCATGTGACGGGCAACTCCCTTTACCTTTAAGAGGTATCCATTTTTTTTCAACAGTTTTTGTTCTACATTGACACTTGCTGACCTTGCTTTATACATATATTAGTTGGCCAAACAAACCTAGAATTCTAGCAAGTGTTAGATGGTTTATATATACACATAATTTGTGTGTATACATGTTTGTGACTGTACATGTATACATACACATATATATAAAATTGATGTAATTATTGGATTGCTTATGTCTGCAAGAAGTTTTCACCAACTTTTGTGCAAGAAAAGGTCTCTGCCATTTCTGGCATTTATTAGACACATGGAAGGTAAACAAGTGCCTACAGAATTGTAAACAAGTATGAAAAGCAGTCTTGTGTATTGGAATGACTTGCAGCATGGCTACTGTCCAAGGAAAGAGGCCATGGGATCATCAGGTCTCTGACGTTTCATTCTGTAGGCTTCCATCTCCTCTTCTGTTGGCTCCCTGGTTTCATACTGGCTGTTGTATGGTCTCTTCCTCTCATCTAACTGCATGATTTCTTTAACGTGGAGAAGACGAGCCTCTTCTGCATTTAGTGCCTGAAATGAAAATGAAGAAAAAAACAAAATCCCACACTGAAAGTTATGCAAAAAAGCCAATGAAAGTTTGTATTAGATACCAGTATAATGAAAAAGCAGCAGGCAGAATGGTGGGATAAGCAATGTGCATCTGTCTGGCTCACCTACAGCACACTTACTGCTCAGATTTCAGTGCTTAAAGAAAATGATGGTAAAATACTAATTAGCAAACAAGACACTTTAATTGCTTTCTAATTACCATAAATCCTTGCCTTTACCTAAAATGGAACTGCGATCCAGCAAGTACAAAAGCAGGTAAGCAAGTATGTGATCTTTAGGGGTATGGGCTGATTTGTTGGGATTTTTTTTTTAGTTTGTTGGTGTTTTCTTTTTTTCCAGTCAGGGAGCATTTTTTCTAAATGCTTTTTGAAATATCTGTTATTCTATTCCTCACAGTACCATTGTTGTTCCTGCTTGCTGTTGAAAAGACATTACATTTGTATGATGCTTTGATTAACTGTAGTTTGTTAGCTTCAGACCCTGAACACCGAGGCAGCTGCTGTGCTGGTGGAAGGGCTGTTCAGCAGCAGTCAGGAGATAGCTTAGGGGAGGGATTTACTGCAACAACAGAGAAACTGGGACCAAGTCTAGGATAAAAAGTGCTATATTAAGCTTTGACAGTGACTTTGATCTCTCTATCTTTCTTCAAATCATTGTGTCTTTTTTAGATCCACAGCTGTAATAAGTGCCTAGACAGGCAGTGTTCTAAATCACCTAAACTAAGGCTTCCGAAACTAAATACTTATTGCATGTTTGCCTGAAAAATAGGCAATATACTTTAGAAAATCTAACAGCATTTTAAATTTGCTTTAGCTCAAAACTGTCATCAAAGAATATTCCACAGACTACCACAAGGACTGCATTACAGGCTTCACAAAACTGACATTGCTGCAAAATATATTTCAAGTTCTTTTTGCCACAAAATTACTGAAGAATATAGTGCACCTTTTTAAGTTTTTCTTGCTTCTTTTTCTCTTCACCCTCACTATCTGAATTTGAGCTCTTCTTGTGCTTCTTCTTTTTCTTCTCTTTCTGTTTCTCCTGGTGGATCTGTAAGGTGGAAATCCAGTTACTGTTAACGTTCAACTTGCAAACATTAGTAATATTCAAGCCATTAAATCCCAAGCATCTATTAATGCTATTTGACAGCTTAGCTTTCAGTAGAGATGTTAATGACCTAAAAATGCAGTCTGATAATTTTCAGGCTCATTATGATTTACAAAATTTTGTAGATATACAGATCTTTCCATCTCTTAAAATGCCAAGGAAAATTATATGCCTTCCTGAGGAAGACAAAAAACCCTACCTCCATCAGTGTTTTGGGTTTTGTCATGTGTTCTTCTTCCCTGGGCTGCTCTTCCAGTAAGCTGGCTTCAGCATTCTATACAACAGACATGAGCAAGGATACCCATTTATCTAGCACGTTTGAAAGGAGGATAAAACCCCAAATAACTAACCAACCAACACAAAACACCACCCTGCCCTCCCCATCTGCAAAAAAAGCAAACCAGTCTAAAATATAAGTAGGAAGAAAAATGCTTTTTAAGTTTTTCCAAATGACTAAATGAAGACAACACTTACAGCAATTTCTTTCCCAGCTTCTCCTGTACAGTATGAGTACTTGACAAATGAGTGGCAGCATTTGTAACCCCACTTGCCTTCTTTCCAGTATGAACCCCATATGCACTGCAAGAGAAGACACCATAACAGCTATAACCATAATGATATGTCATAAGAGGCAGGCTGCAATTTTCTGCTGAGCTTATATCCTGATAAGTAAGTTATTCAAACAAGCCAGAAGGGAAAGTAATGGGAAAAATTTCTGCAATTTTACATTACCCTTATGGGTACAGTTTCAAAAAAGAGAAGATCAGCAGGATGTGATCAACTCATAGTCCAAATCAAAGGGCAATACAGTAACTTGCCTTGCAGTTCAAGATTGCCATCGCAACTCCCCAAATTCCCTTCCACACCTCATTCCCTTCCAAAGGGAAGGAATCTGCTTTTGTCATGATTTTATCATAAGCTAGGGCTTACTGTATGGTTGTTGATCTTCACATCCTCTTCATATTTAGAGCAGGCAATAGCTTTCTCTTGTCCTTTGATGACTGTTCCGTGCCTGGAGTACTCCACGTAATCTTCTGTCTGAGCTAACAGCAGTTCAGCTGGTGGGGCATCTAGATGTTCTTGTCCCCCATACTAAAACGCAAACAGAAATGACATACAAAAGTTTGAAAAAAAACTCAAACCACCCTTTATATAGTTATCCATTCATTTCAAAATCATCACCCTCAGTACCTTCTGAAGACACAAGAGAAGCGGACAGACAGGTTAATCCTTAGTGAACAGTCAAGAGAGAAATACGTCTCCTCTAATGGCTGTTGTGGGTTTTGGTGCTAGTTGTGTATTTTATGCCTGGAGGATTACAACAGTCATATTCCTCCCTCAAAGCGGAAAAAATTTTCAGACCAAACCAAAAGGCTGTGGTATAACCAGATGAGTACTTCCTGTCCCCCTCCAAACTGCAGTGTTGACAAGGTTACAATTGAACTGGATTATTTAGTTCTTTGTTACTTGTCCAAGAAAACAGTTGCAAAATGTAAAATAAATATTTATCTGGAAGACTGCAGCCAAAACTCAAGTCTGAAAATTCTGCTTTTCACATTTTAAAAAAAAAAAATAATTTTGGGAGACAGTTAATTGGGTATTTTACAAAGATACCACTTTTAAACATTTTTTTCAACCACTGAATTATTTAAGAAAAAATGAATCAACTTCTCACTCTTCCTATTGCTGCTGTCAGATTTTTCACTGGAGAACTTCTGACAATTAAGGAAAGACTTCCCAACAATCCAAAGGAATACCATCAGATCTTCAAAGGCACCTATATTAAATGATATAATGAATCTGACTAATGAGATAGCGTATATAGATACGACAGTCTTCTTATAAAACTGGTAAAGCTGAGAACAACTGATGCACTTTCACACAGCATTAGTAATCTTATCTGTTCCCCAAGACCCAGACTTCAACAGAATTCTTATTAAATCAAACCAAATGCTTATTACCTTCTCTAGGATGCTTTCTTTCTGCTGTGCCTTGAAATCTTCTTTTTTCACTTTGAAGGACTTATAAAGTAGCTCTAATTTTGTAGGGTCTGCTTGAAGATGAACTTCAGAGCCTTTGTCATAAGCCTCCCAGGCAAACACTGCATACACAAGAGGTTTCACTCAATATTTATTCTAAAACTGACATATGCATTCCAATTACCACCTTTGATTCTGTAGTAACTTAAAAGCAAGCCTCAATCTCAGAAGGCTTATCTTCTCTTTTGCAAGAAAGAGGCATTGTTAACTTAAGTATCCCAAGTTTATTTTCTTCAAAAAAATAACCCCAAGCCCACTTACGCTGGGTCTGTGCCATTGAAATGGTGTCTCCAGTGTAGCGAACAAAGTTGTCACCTGCGTAACCAACCCTGCAGGAAAGAACATGATTCTTAGCATGCAAGTCATGTGATTTTCTTGTAAATACAATCACTGAACACCAAGAGGAAAGTAAAAATTCTCCTTTGTGCCCTGAGAATTAAGAATGGAGGGAGAGGAAGGAGCATTCAACTCAATACATGAAATGAAAGCCCAGGTACCCCCTAGAGTCACAGGAGGATTAGAGAGCAACTCAGAATACTTGATGCCTGTGTTTATATGGAAACATCTTGTGACACAGAAATAGAGCTTTGTCTGGGATATCAAGCACCAGGAATAAAACTTGGACCTAACCACAATAAAGCATAAGTGGTAGGTGATATTCTAGCACAAGGCTTCTCAGCTTTTGGATTTGTGAATCTCTCCTCCCACCCAGGCCCGGTGTATTTACTGAGGTCAGGGTTGGTAATAGCTCTGCTGCTCTCAGTTACCGTTTGCACACCCCTTTAAGAGATTCACAGTGAGAATGTGAAACACAGGTTGAAAATCAAATGTTAACCATCCAATTTCCTACTCTTTTCATCTCCCTAAAGCTACTCTGAAAAACTTACAGTCTGCAAAGCTGTAGCAGAAACACAGATTCAACAAAAATCAAATTATGACTGTAGAGAGAAGTGAAAACGTTTGCATCCAAAAAACAAACTGACTGCCATTGCTTTAGCTGGGGGCAAGGAGAGGTGGAAAGACCATTATTTGCTAGCATTTAGCCACTGCCATTCTTTTTCAGGCAGTGAGCTAATCCAATTACTGTACATTATAGATGCTTCTACTCACAGCCTGTCTAGTCTAAGTCCACAGCACTACACAGGTCAAGGTGGGGTCACAGCTCAAGTGCCCAACTCAGGTTTTGAGACAGCCCTTGTGTGCTGCCAAAAGCCAGCCCATGGCACTCTTTAATTAAGTTGTCTATCTAGACAATGCCAAAGCTTTCAGACCTTCCTATGCAGACTTCATTAATACATGATGAGTTTTAGCTCCTAATTCAAGCATTTAGGCAAGTACCACATGCTTGTCTCCAGTGCTGAATACCTCACAACAAACAAGGGATGAAGTTCAAAATTTGGTTACTGAAATACTTTACATAAACATCATTATTGTTTACAGGCATCACCACTAGATACAGCAGAGTGTTCTAATCCTTGCACAGATCATTACGCTAAATGGTGCTCCATATATCACTGAAGATTTAAGGGACAGCATTACTAAAATACCACTATCATATACTAAACCAAAAAGTGATGCTAAATAAAACAATTCTTCCATGATTACTACTACTTCCGTAACTGTCTAGAGATTAAGTGGTAAAAGGACATACAGGTAAGAGACAATACAAAACTTTTAATGTCATTTTTAACAGACCCTGCTTTAAACTTACTCATCTGGATTCTTTCCTGTGTTGGCATATGGGTTCTCCCTCATCGCTCTTGTTTTGGGATCATAATAAGCAGAGTTTGGATCTAGATTCCTCAAGTACTAAGGAAAGAAAACAACATATGAGATATAAATATTTATGATTTTAAAAGAAGTGAAGTTACTCTTGTATCCGCCAGCTTAGACATTTTAAAGGTACATCTGCATAAAGGGATGACCTTAACAAACTTGTAACATGGTAGGAATAGAACTGAGAATAGACCTTAACTTCCAAACCTCAAGACCCATACACAAACTCTTTACGAACTGAGCGTACAATTTTTTGAAATTAACCCTGATGAATATAAAAGAACATCTGTAAAGGATTCTTTACTTACTTTTGCAATATCTTCTCGAATACGTAAATTTCGAACTGTGATACGTCTTTTAGAGTCAAAGTTCTGCCCAGGCATATCAATGTCATCTGCATATTTATCTTCATCCTCATCCTCACTGTTGTGGTCTCTTTCCTGAGAAGAGATGGGAGACTTCTAAAGAAAAGAGAACATTCACTCTAGAGACAAGTATGAGAATCTGATTTATTGGTTTCACTAAAAATTCTGCAATCCCTGTAGTTAGAAGCTAGCATCATCTACCTGAGCTTAAGTGTGCTGTCATACTAACCTAACACCCAGCAGTGTTCAGAAATTCTCTTGTTAAAGAATTTACACTTCCTCATATGGAAACAGTTATAAAAATGTTACTAGGATGATATTAAGAAAACAGTTATCTTGGGCAAAATATACCACATATTAAATCTAGTTATTTGCTTGTATCACTCAGGTTTCACAACAAACAGGAATTAAAACTAAACCAAAAACCCCTCTATGAAATCCAGCAATCTCTGCCTGAAAGAATAGGCAGCTCTGGCAAGAACCCAACATTCAAACCCTTGTGCCAGTCTTGTTTCACTGTTCCACTAACTAGAGGCCCTTTTCTCTGCCCATGGTGTGATGCAGTGGGTAATCATCTTACTGTCTGCGAATTTGGTTCCTCTTCTCCCCACTGGTGTCTTGGGGAGTTCTGTAGCAAACAAAGAGCACATCAGCAGAGAAGACAAGATAGTGGAGAGAGGAAAGAGGGCAGGGATATAAAGAGCAATCAAAGCACAGCTAGATGCTGGATGCAAAATACAATTTACATGGCACAAAATGCACAAAGACTGCTACACTATGTTCTACAAAAGGGCTTGTAAGTCTCTCTATTACAGACACGTTGCAGACCTTTTCACTGTATTCCCAGCTAAATTTCCAAGCCTTTACAAGAACAGGAAGTTCTAGAACTGTCACTGTTATTTAGAGCTTAACATGCCTTTGAACACTAAGGATTTAGACTAGAATGTTTCATGTCATGCAAATATAACCGAGATCCAACTCTAAGAACTTAGAAAAATAATTAAGAAAGTATGTATGCAAGTGTTTAGTTGGATTGACAGGACTAAGCATGAATCAGAAGTTAATTTGGATAAACACAGCCAGAATTTATTTCTTTAACCTGCTTAGCCTTTAACTGCAAATATTCACAATATTTGCAGCAGTAAAGATGTAAACAACTGTGAGTCCTAAAAGACTGACCAGCAAATTGGTCAGTGCTGATTATGCAAATCTGTCTTGGTCCTCTCCATCACAGATACTTCTTATGATTCAAACACACTTTCCTTCTTACAGCTCCATTTTATACGGAGTATGTATATGGAAGCCAACAACGTTTGCCTTAAAGTGAGAACAGGCATCAAAGAGAAAGAATCTTTTCTATCGGGAAGGTCAGAAGGCTGTAGTTTGTGCTGGGCTGGAGATTAAGTTCACTCTGCCATCTAGTGACAAAATGCAAGGCGACAGTCTCGGGAAAATGGAGGTGCAACCGTATGCAGTCTCCTTACTTTCTTTCTTACAATACTGATTAAAACCCCCTACTTCCGACCAGTAGCAGTCTCTACTTTTTCCCCATTTTGCAAACTCAGAATATTATCAGAAATGTCTTAAAATGAGAATTTTATATCACAGATTATCAAAAGCATTTTCTGTAATCTAAGGGGAGCTTGTAGAAGTTAGAGGAAGATGCAAACTGCAGTTTTCAAGTGGGAGGGAAAACACGTATGCTCAGCCTTCCAACAACCAGACACTGCATAGCCACAGCAATGACTGAAGAAGAGACGAGTTTGGTTCTAATATAAAGAAAACACCTTCCTATTTAAATTTATACTAAGCATTACTAAAACAATCCACAGTCACATAATAATCATTACCTCAAAAGTAGTCAGATGTAAGAATGTTCAAATACAAAGAAAGCATTTCCATGTACAAACAAAAGTATTACACAGAAATTAAGGTTTTCTGTCCTAAATTCCAGATAATTAATTTTACCAAGAATAATAATCACATGACATTTTTGCCCATGAAGGAAAAGAAAGCAACTGTCATTGGAAAGATGCTTCAAATCCTTAAATATGCTACAGAATATGATGGTGCTAGGGAAATCTTTAAATTACTGAAGGGCATGAGACACAATAGCAGACTAAAAGCATCAGAGAGCAGCAGTAACCTATTCTATCTTTATTCAAACTGAACAAAAAATAAATTAGGGTTTGTTCACTTACCACTTGCTCCAGCTTTCCTGATGCTAACTCTTCTTGAAGCTTCTGGGCTTTCAGTGTACGTTTGGCCTGTGTAAAATGAGAATGCATGTTTTACTATTTCATTTGAATAGCAAGTATGTATCAGTAGTTTCAAGCATGCCTTGTGACTGCTGTTATTTAAAAATGTATCCAGTATTACAAAAAGATGGGATTTTTTGATTGTCTGGGTGCTTGTAAAGTATCAGCAGCCTAGAGCTTGTCTCCTCTACTCCCATGCTTCACCTACACTGTTTTTTCAGCCTCAAGGAAATGAAAATATATATACTAACCATTTTACTATTTTATATTATACTGTTAAAAAACCCAGTTTACTGGAGTGTTTGCAGTTATACCATTACTACATTCATCCTGCTTTAAGAGAGAAAGCTTATTTTAGTTCAACAGTCTTTAAAAACAACCATATTTTATTATTGTGTCATCATAATCTAGTTAGAAACCTCAGTACTTCAGGTGCTTCATGATGCTGGAGGCATTTCTGGCTCATCCAGGAAGCACCAAAGTCTAACATCTGAAGTGAGATTTTAAAGCAGCATGTAGTGAATTTTTCTGTTTGACATCACAGAACCACAGAACTGTTGATAATAGAGGGAACTCTGGAGATTGTCAAGGACAATCCCCCTGCTCAAAGCAGGTGCATCTACCACAGGTTGTCCAGGACTGTGTCTAGGCAGGTTTTGATAACCTGCAGGAATGGAGTTTCCTCAGCATTACTGGGCTAGCTGTTTCTTCACCCTCACAGTATAACACATTTGTCTCATGTTTACACAGAATTTCTTGTATGTCGCTTTGTGCTCACTGCTTCTTGTCCTGTTACTAGGTACTGTGGAGAAGGGCTAGTCTCTGTCTTCAAACACTCCCACCACACATTTCTACACACTGATTAGATCACATCCAGCAGTAGCTTTCCTACACAGCACAGGAAACCACTGAGGACCAGGCACTGAAGGGAGCTGGTTAGTCAGCTAACTACCTTTCGGAACAGACTGCCAAGATAGTGAACTATTTTCTTTTTTTTTGTCTTCTTAAATGTTAATAGCGTCTACATGGACTTGGTGGATACAAGAAGTTAACTGCAACAGGAAAGTGTCTGTCTGCACAGAAACATGTACAAATAGTCCACTGCTCCACCATGGTAACAAAAGGATTCTTAAATACAATAACATGAATAAGTTTACAAAACAGATACAGATTTATTTGCTCTAATACAGCCAGGTAACAAATCCTTGTCTTGCCTGCGATTTGATCTGCATCTTGGGCAATAAATTTTAAGGCTCACATATTAAAAAGTAAGGAATCAAGAGAGACACTCCATTTATTGTACAGGCCCATACTCAGTTGACAGTTCTGCTCTAAATTTTCAGTTTAAGTGAAGTCTGCTGTCAAACACAGGAAACCATATTTCTTTTTTATTATGAATACAGCACAAGGTCTAATACTAAATTGTGTACATAACCAACGTTCCTCCTCCCAGCCAAGCCAAAGCCTAAGCCCTTCCCCAGGAAACAACAGCACCTACGTACCAAATCAACTTTGGAATATTCCTCTACAATCTTCATGTGCTCTTCTGGGTTATAGCCGTTCCAGCGATCTCGCTTTCCATCATAATCAAACATCAGCTGAGGCTGCACGTGTTCATCTGGTGCAATATTCATGCCTGTGTATTTTGCTCCAACTTTCCTGGGTCTCTGAAAGGAGGAAAAAAGAAAAAAAAAGGTTGCATCAGCCTATTAGACTAATAATGTTAGTCACTCAAATACATCCTTAAAACAGTTATCAGTCGAGCTTCTTTAAAGCCAGTTAAATTCAGTACTATGAGCCTGGGAATTGTAAATAAATGCAGAAGTTCACTTCTGTATTTTAAAGCAGTGCAACTGGCTCCAAACCCCCTTGTTTTCTGGTGGTGTTTTCCACAACTGAGAAAACAATTCTGACAGCTTCTGGGGATGGCTTCTCACTGATGTAAACAGAAAGACAGGTACAGCAGTATTCCAGTTAAAATGAAAAGCTGAACATTTTCACCTATTATTGCCATGCTCATCACAAACAGAGCTGATGAGCAACACCCTGAACAGCGTAACGTTACACGACAATTTCTTTAGAAATTTCCAAGTCCCCTTTCCATACTTGTAACCTTTTTCAAAATAGCTTTATCAAAACTCATTGTCTTTATTTTATCTGCAGCTAGCTATTTTTCACTAAGAATAGAACTCATGTTATTTTCAAAATGATTACAACATCAACAAACCCCAAGTTTACCTCCATGCAGTCTTTCTTTTTGTGTGTCAAGGCACCACAGTTCTCACAGGCTCCTTTACGGTATCTGGTTGCTACAGCATGCTGAACAACAAAAACAGACACTGTTGTACAAACTTGTGTCATGATTCATACACGTGTTCCCCAAAATGAACTGCTTTTTTCAACAGAACTAAAGTGCACACGGTTTACCCAAACTTAGGACAACTATTTTGATTATTATCGAACACGGCAGCTTGCCCACTGAATAAGAATCCCAGCCACTGCCTCACTCAAAACAAATATACCCAGAAATTACTTCCTCACGGAATGAAACCAAATCTTTATCTTGTGCCAAAAACATTCTGCATACCTCCTGAACTCCTCGTTTGTACCAATCTCCAGAGGAGCTATACTGCTTCTGCTTCTCTGGCTGAGGTCTCTGATGCTTTAGAGTAGGTCTTTTAGAAGGGTCTATGTACCATGGTACGGAGGATATGTACTGAGGAATATGAGGATTGATATCCCTGTAAAAGATGTTATGTAATAAATACACGGCATAGGGAAACCTCCTGCAACTTAGTCTAACAAACAGCTCTCCTATCAAAACTTAGTGCTTTAGGAGTGATGATAAATTAATGAGGTTGTTACGATGCACTGCAAAATTAACTTACACGTGCTTTCACTGAGATTTTGTTGCCATCTAATTCACCTAAAATCCTGAGTCCCAACCAAATACTTTATTCTATGCAGTGTTATTGAGTCCAAGCTCAGCAACATTTCTCATCTCAGAAGCAAGAAGCTTGCAGAAGCAAGAGAGAGGGAACAGGTACGATATGCAGTGAAGTTCCCCAGTACTACGTTTTGCTCACTTTTAAAATGCCACTTGTAACTAGCTGCACAGATGGGACTTTTCAGCAGCTCTGTCAAGAGATCACAGTAGATAAAGACTAAATCTATATTTTTTAAAAACATACTTGTTTTCTGAGAACAACTGTAATGTGAAATACAAATTCATAAAGTTCAGCTATTTACTTCTACAATGACTCATGTAGAAATCATGTATCATCCTCATGACTATTCTGTAATCATAACAGGAAAAAAAACATTTTTTAGCTGCTAGCTTTAAAATAACCAGCTTTAATAAAACTTACTTTCCTTCTTCATCCACCTCAGCAGGTGCATTTCCTAGTTTTCTTTGTTCTTCTAATTCTTTCTTTTTCCTCCAGTCTTCCCTTGTCATCTTCTTTGGTTCCTCCAGGCTCACATCGTTTGAGCCTCCCGAAGGAGGGGCATTCATTACTGTCCCTGATGCCATTTTGCTTTTTCCTCTGTAACAAAAAAGACAAAAAAGAAACGTTACAGATCAAAACCCTTTGACAGCACAGTTCTTCAGCATGGTTTTGCATCGCTCAGTGAAACCAGTAAAGCCGCATTATGTATTCCTGACGTTTCCTTCTGCAAAAATAAGGACCGGCGCTGAAACAAAGAGATCTTACTAAAAAGCGTCTTTTCTCTCACCAAAACGACGGGGAGGAACCAGGGAAGCCTGGCACACGGCGTCAGGACAGGCGCTACCGGGCCTTGTCCCGCGGCGGCAGGAGCTGCCGGAAGGCCCCGCGGACGCAACGCGTACCCCGAAGGGGAGTGGGGACGAGAGCGACTGGGAGGAGGCGACACCCCAGCAGGGCCTAGGCCCATGCGCGGCCCGGCGACCGCCGGACGGCGACAGG